GCAATGTCTATGGATCCATTTTTTTTGGACATCGGATGACCGCCATGACAATTTCAGCTGGCATTTAAGGGTCTTTGCCTGTGTTGACCACAGAAGAGTAAGGGCTGGGTTCGATTTGCGTTTTTCGAACGCATCCCACCGCTGCCACCAATGTAGAATACCCGAGCCCTAATAGGTAAAAGACCGGTACAACAGAACAGGCTTTATTGACCAACCAGAAGCCAGAGCCACGCGTCAGGTGCCTTCCATTCGAGTCCCCGACGCTGGCGACGCCTCTCCTTATATACTGCACTTCATGGGTGTCATTGTCTGGTTGGCTGCTTATCTTCCTCGTATGCCATTGGAACACAGACAGAGGCATAGGATTGGCTGCGGCCGGAAGGTTCAACAAGTCTGCGCCCTGATACGACACCACCATAGGTTTCGTGTCCATGGTAAGAACATGAATGAGAGGTAACGGATAACTTTACTAGATACAGGAAGCACTACAGTCTGGTCACAAGCTGGTCGGTCCGTATGGGGAAAACATGGGCTTTATATATCCTTGTCCTGTTCTTACTGTTCTCTTGTTGGTCCGTTTCGCGTCGCTACAATGGAGACAGAAAACTCGTGAGCGGATTGGCTTTTAGCCCCCAGCGCGTCATTCATTGCCCGCACACCGCCACGCAGCCGGAAATCGCACCCCCGATCACGTGACGTCGCCTCCACGCCGTGCTGACTACCGTCACCAATATGGCTGCCATCTGCCATTCCGCTACACTGCCTCCCCCTAGGACCGAAGTTCTCCCCAGCTTCTCGTCTACTACCACTGCCGCTATCTCAACAGTGTGGTCCACTGGGGGTGGCTCACAGTATCTTAGGGGCTCCTCATCAGTCTCCTCCATTGACTGAACATAGGGTTTTTGCTTGTTAAAATGAGTAGTGAACCCTTGACCGGGACTATCGTTCAGGCCGCGAAATACACTTGTCGTTTCACTAAGGACCGTGTCTACCACATAAGGTCCTTCCCACAAAAGTTGAAAATTTTGGCCTACGCCCGCTACAATCGGGGTAGCCATCCACACGAGGTCATCTTCCTCGACGGGGGTACCGTGGTCCCGCTTATCATAGTAGTCTTTCCGTCGCTTGTGAGCGAGGGCTAATTGTGACCTGGCTGAGTCGAAAGACCGAAAAAGTTGACGTCGCACCTCAGCAACGTATTCTGAAGGTCTTATATACTCCTCGACACTGGCGACGCCGCTACTTATATACCGCACCTCAGTTGTGTCATTCTCTGGTTGGCTGCCTTCCTTTCCCGCATGCCATTGGATCGCAGAGAGACACGGGATTAGCTGAGGCCAGGTGGTCCAACATGTCTGCGCCCTAATCCGACGACACACTGCCTCCCCCTCAGCAGTGAAGCTGTCCTCAGCTTCTGGCTTGGTTCCTTGCACTGTTGTTGACATCCAGTGTTGGTAAAATATCCAGTTCGACACTCCCTCACCCCACATCTGGCAGAATAGTGTCCCATGCGAATAGTTGACGGGGGACTTTGCTCTTGTAGACC